GATGGAGGCTTTGGACGATTCAGCAAACAAAGATCGATGAACGCTTTACGAAGACAGAATATCAGACCTCAGCAAACCTTTGAAAGATGAACGCCGAAGACACAAGAATCACCACGTGAGTTAGCGAGTCAAAGTGAGACAAAACGTAAGCAAGCGCCTCAAAGCGAGGCAAATGTGTGTCGACAACGAAAATGCAATCTCAAAAAATCCTCCCTTATTAACTGCACAGGACACCCAATAATGCAAAGAACACCCAACACAAATTAGGGGTTGCTTTCTCGTACCTCGAACGCAATATTACAGGGCTAAAAGAAATTAGAAAAAAGTACAACAGGGCAATCAAGTAATGCTGAGCTAAGATATTTAACTTAAATAAGGCGTCAGTATTCATTTTCTTTAAAAGAAATCTATATTGCTGATTTTTTGTTTGTTTGTTTCATATTTAGCGATGATCTCCGCCCTAAATCCATAAATGTTTGGAAGGATTTGTTTGCTCCCACAGTCCCACAAATAGGGTTTTCCAGTAAGTATAAAATAGTTCAGCAATTAAAGTAAAGGGCAAGCATTTTCCGTCAAAATTCCAAACAGCACATTTTTTAAGCAGAGACGAATTCGTTGATTCGAAATAAGGCACCAATGTAATTCAATTTCAATCTCAAACTGTTTACAACGTGAGCAGTGATAAAACAAATGAGTTAATGATTCGGGCTGATTGTCACAGAAAGTACATATATCATTTGTTCTAAAACCTATTTTTTACAACTTTGTGTTTGTGGAAAGGATTGAGTTAACTAATTTGTACTGGAAGGCTTTCAGATACGACTCGACAACGATAGAGTGTTGCAGCTTACATATTTGTTTCAGATGGTTCCTGTAAAATGAAAGTTACTCTGTAACTTTTGAATAACTTTGGGCGGTTTGTATTCGTTAATAACTTTTGAAACCGTCGATACAAGAGATAACTGACTTCCTTTTTGTAGTTGTTCAGCCTTTTTTGTCTAGTAATGAATCGAGTGGACAATTTAGGTCTCCTCCTAGTATAATGCTATCCAAAGAATCCAGATTTTCATTTTGCAAAATTGAAAGTAGGTTGTTGAAAAATTTCACTTGGTCTTTATCTTTGTTCGGCGCATAAACATTAATCAGCACATAGTGGATTCTTGGATTCAAGCTTTTAAAAAGTCCTAAACATTTGCTTAGTCAGAGAGGGACGCGAGTGATGTTTAAAAAGTTATATGAAATAAAGGAAAGCACGAGTTTAGCCAAATTCCCCTTCCAAGAGGAAGAATTAAAAAAGATGTTTAAAAATTCTCTTTTTAAAAACGTTAAGATTTCCCGTGTCTCATATCTTTAGCTATACTATTATACAGTTTTGCCCCCCGGTAGGTGAAAGTCTTTTGACCAGTGGCCAGCCTATACCGAGGCAACGTAAGGTCATTATTCTGCCTAGTGTCTCTTTGGTTTGTTTTTGCACGATATTGAAAGCGTCCATGAAGGTAACCAGGTGTTAAGTTCTTTAAGGATTTGTACACGATCACTAGCTCGTTAAAAAGCAGTTTATCCCTTACGTTAAGCCATTTAAGGGACTTCTGGGCTTCTGAAACATGATCATACTTTCTTAAACCAGCTACGATTCTGTAGGCATAGTTCTGAACTAGCTGAAGTTTTCTAACGTTCTTCTTGCTTGTGCTACTCCATACCATCGAACGATAAAATAATTTGCTGAAGACGAAAGCATTTATAAGATAGATCAATGTTTTTTTTTTATCTAAGAGATGCTTTATCCTATTAACTCTCGTTACTTTAAACATACAGTCAGAGGCAGTTTTAGTGATATCTTCGTTAAAAATAAGATAACCTATATACACTCCCAGGTCCTTTGCAACTGTTACAGGCTTGATTTGAGTTCCCAGCATATTCGCACTTGGTTAACGGGTAATGTCCTCATGAGTTGTGCGACGCCCACATAAAGGAGCTTTGTTTTGTCAGGGTTAATGGGCAGCGAATTTCTACTGCACCAAATCGATATTTCTTTAAGAGTTTCGTTTACTGCAGAGATAACGTCGTTAAGTTCGCTGGCGGGGAACACAAGGAAGGGTTTGGTGTCATCCACATAGCCGAGTGGCTCGCAATGTTTTGGAACTCGAAAGAGGTCGTTTGCATACAATGTAAATAACACCGGGCCCATGATGGATCCTTGCGGTACCCCAGCCGTAAGGGGTAAGGGATCAGATACAGTATTCTCAAATTTAACGACTTGTTGACTTTGCGATAAATAGCTTTCGAACCAGGCACACGCAGACTCAGATACACCAGCTTTGCGAAGTTTACGTATCATTAAATAGTGTCGAATGCTATCAAAAGCTTTGGAAATGTCCAAAAGAACAATAACAGATATCTTCTTTTGATCCATGTTATTAAGCAATTCATCGGTGAAATGAAGTAGCGCAGCCTCGGTTGAGTGAAGTTTTCTATTTCCACTTTGCAGGTCATGGCCTGAATGGCACAGTACCTAAATAAAACGGGAAAATCCGAACAGGTGTGAATCTGACAAAGCTAAATGAAATCCAGTTGAAGGCAGACGCTCAACCGTTTGCAATCATGACCCCAAGACGTATTCCATTACCAAACCACTTAACCATAGCATTGTTAAAAGTATTTTAGTATTTAAATGGTAGATATGGGCATATTTTTATCCCCTAAAAATTTTTCATCTGTTCGGATTTCCTAGCTGAAAGTCTAGTGATCCGAAAATTATGGGGATCAAACCTTACCTTTTCGAGAATTCCAGCCAGAAAAAAGGCTCTCGAAAATTCTAGGCGACCTTTGTAGGGTAAAAATCCGTTTCAAATGGGCAATTATACCATTTTTTAGATGTTCGAAAATCCTAGGAGAGGCAGGCAATCAAGAAATTTTACACAAAATGTTCCGAAAATTCTGTATCTCAAATCGTCTTCGGAACAGATATTTTCCGAAAATTCACGTTGGGTGCCCCTGAACTTGCCAGAATGGAGAAGCTGGGAGTAATCAGTAAGGTTGATAAGCCCACAAACTGGTGCGCTGGAATGGTCACAGTACCTAAATCAAACGGGAACATCCGAATAGGTGTGGATCTGACAAAGCTAAATGAAATCCAGTTGAAGCCAGACGCTCAACCGTTTGCAATCATGACCCCAGGACGTATTCCATTACCAATAAAAAGTACAGTAAAGGAAGAACTTGCCAGAATGTAGAAGCTGGGGGTAATCAGAAAGGTTGACAAGCCTAAAACCTGGTGCGCTGGAATGGTCACAGTACCTAAATCAAACGGGAAAATCCGAATAGGTGTGGATCTGACAAAGCTAGATGAAAACGTTTGCCGTGAAACGTATGCACTTCCAAAGATTGACACCTTGCTAGGAGAGATTGGAGAGTCCACGGTGTTCACAATAATTGACGCAAATTTCGGTTTTTGGTTGGAGAAGCTAGCAGAAAACTCTCAACTCCTGACTACGTTTGGAAGGAGTGATATGCATTATGGATTACATCCTTGTCCATAGAAAGACGCAAAAAGAACACGATGAACGACTTGAAGCAGTTTTAACCAGATTGATCAGAGCAAGAATCACCCTGAACCCAGAGAAGTGCGAATTTTCAATTGACGTTCGCGGGTCATAGTCTCAGCGCTCAAGGATTAGGCCCCGATCCAGACAAGACTGCAGCTGTCGAAAAAATGGAGAGACCGCAAAATGTTGCAGAACTACGAAGATTCCTGGGAATGATCGACCACAAACAGAAGTTCATCGAAAACCTGTCCGAGAAGACTATGCCTCTTCGCGATCTTCTTTCGCTTCGCGCTCTATGACGTCTACCGAACAAAGATACGCTCAGAGAGAGAAAGAAGCACTCGCAAATACTTGGGCTTGCGAAAAGTTTGCCGACTTTGTCCTCGGTAAAGAGTTCCTTATGGAAACGGACCACAAGCCGTTGGTGCCGTTACTAGGATCTAAATGTCTCCAGGACATGCCACCACGTATTCAGAGGTTCTGGATGCGACTGATGCGCTACTCGTACCAAATAGTCCATGTACCCAGAAAAGATCTCACCACAGCTGATGCCGTATCAAGAGCGCCGCTTCACCGAAGTCTCTAGAAAGACGAGAAGCAACTTCATGAAGATTTAAACCTCTCCGTTTCACACATAGTAGAATGCCTGCCAACTACAGAGCGCCGCTTGCAAGAAATACGCCTTCGTCAGATGAAGATGAAGTTTGTTCAAAGCTTAAGCTGTTCTGCAGTGAAGGCTGGCCAGAGAAACATCACCTGAATTGTTCACTCCAACTGTACTGGCAGTACAGAGCAGAAATCACTGTTCAGAAGGGAATCCTAATGAAAGACGACAGAGTCATCATTCCCTCAGCGTTAAGGCTCGATGTATTAGACAAGATACACACAAGTCATCAAGGCATCCAGAAATGCCGCGAAGGGGCGAAAAGTGGTGTCTGGTGGCCGAATCTCAGAAAGCAGATCGAAGATCTTGTCAGAGAATGCCCTACTTGCATCAAGACGAAAACTAACCGTGCATAGCCCATAATTCCTTCACAGTTACCCGAGCGCCCATTCCCAAAAGTAGGGACCGATCTATTCGAATGGAAAGGACAAGAATTCATCCTCGTGGTAGATTACTTCTCGCGATATTGTGAAATTGGAGTACTTCGAAAATCCTCCTCTCAAGAAGTGATCAATCACCTAAAAGCGATTTTCGTGCGCCATGGAATTCCAGAAACCGTGATCTCCGATAACGGACCACAGTATTCCTCAGCGGAATTCGCCAAATTTGCAGAAGACTGGGGATTTACACACATTACAAGCAGTCCAAAATACCCCCAAAGCAACGGAGAAGCCGAACGTACGGTGCAAACAACTAGAAACCTCCTTGCAAAATCCGACGATCCAAATGAAGCACTACTCGCTTACAGAGCTACCCCACTTGAAAACGGATTCAGCCCAGCCGAACTATGCATGGGAAGGCGACTACACACCACCCTTCCAACTACTCCATCTAAACTAACACCGCAATGGCCTGCGTTAAAGAAATTGCGTGAAAAGGAAGCCAAGATTAAGACCGAGCAAACAAAACAACCGACGACATGCAGTTAAAGAGCTAAGTCATCTGTCACCAGGCGATCTTGCTTATATCCCTGATCGTAAAGAGAACGCGGTAGTAGCCAAAACACAATAGCCACGTTCCTATTACCTCGACACTGACAGTAACGCAACTGTTAAAAGAAACAGACGGCAGCTCAATCCAAATCCTAAAGAAGCAAAGTACGCAGCAGGAAGCCCTTTACCCGATCCTCCTGAAACTTCTAAGGATCAGTGACCTGTTCTGGCGGAGAAGAAAGATGCTTTACGGTCTGCTCAAAAGTCCTCCATTCCAGTTCCTTTTCCTGGAAGCACTACTCGTTGCAGAAGAAAAGTCAAACCACCCAAGAGATTAGGTTTTGATTAGAACTGAAAGAACCTTTGTTATAAGTGATTCGTTTCGTGATCGAAATACGTGATTGACTCGCTTCCTATCATTAAAGAACTTTGCACAGAGACATTCTTATAGAAGTACCAAAATGTCTAGAAAGGAGGATGTGGGATTAGCCCTTAATCCTCTTACTTAGCAACCGCGTTCGACTTATATATCCTGATGTGATTGTACAATAGTTCAGTTGGCCTTAGGCCTCGCTCATGTAATCTCATTTAAGCATTAAATTGTATAACCTTGAATATATACTTGGCCTCCACTCTTCGTTTCGCCTCCGATAATGGCACAGTAACTGTACCTAGATATTGTAAACATTGGTTGCGGTGTTTCTCAGGGTGTGTTTCTTGGGGAAATTTATGAATCCAAAAACGGTTTTGTGTTTCTTTGCAAAAATTTGAATAGGCTCTTTGCATGATTTGATCACGTGACCAACTTTCGGCAAATACGAAAGCAGTTCACTTTTGAAAAATTTTGTTAGTACAAGCTGAAAGAACATATCAAAATTAAGTAACCTGAGAATTTTCAGTCGTGTATCTCAAAAGTAGCGATTGTAACGGCCGCCAAAAGTTAGAAGCATTTGTATGAGAAAAACAACTTTTGCCACCCAGTCACGTTTGCATGGATTTCCATACAATCATTGTAAAGTCTAAAATTATTAAACTGTCGTTAAATTTCTCCTTTACGCATTTAACGGCTCAAATTGCCTTTATGAAATAAAAGGAAATTTGAGCCATTTAATGCTTAAGGAAATATTTCATGACAGTGTTGAAAATTTCGAAATTACGAGGATTTGTATGGAAAACCATGCAAGCGTGACTGGATAGCAAAAGTTGTTTTAATCAAACAAATGCTTCCAACTTTTGGCGGCCGTTGCAATCGCTAATTTGAGATATACGACTGAAAATTCTCAGGTTAGCTAATTTTAAATCTTTCAAAAGTGAACTGTTTTCGTGTTTAGCTGAAGTTGATCACGTGATCAAGTCATGCAAAGAGAGTATTTTGAAACATGTAGTCAGGAGCCGACTAAGCTTAAATTTATTATCTTCTCTTTTCTTTGGCACTGATGTGGAAAACATTCATCTGGAAAGTGGAAATCCTGTCAAAATATATACACGCTTTCTCTCCCGATCCTTTTCTTTTACTCCCTAATTGATATCGCCCTAAATAATCTACTTCCGTAAATTCAGTTTCTCTCAATGGTTCGCAATTTGGGACATTTCAGATAAAAATATCATAAAATATCGCAATTGAATTCCTCTCTGAGATACAAAGGGACAAAAGCAAACAAAAGCATTAAACGAAGAAAGTAGGACTGATTTTACCAACTGAGTCTGTTGTTATTAAAGTCGGCAGATTCATGGATTGATAGGGTAGTATAGTGATGATAGTGTCTGTACTTTACATTACTCTAGCATTAACTCCAATGCAAATGCCGAAAACAACAGAAAAATTCAAATAAATAAAGAGCACTTAAATGAGTACAACTTACAATGTCTCTAGAAAATTCAGACCTGAGAAAGCTCCGTTTTCCAGTTTCTGGATTTTGTTATCTTGAAGATATCTGCATGAAAGAAACAAAAAAGAAACAAAAGAATTAGGTAGACAAAAGCGCTAAAATATCCTACCACGAAAACACCACTCTTAATAATTTTGCTCAGAGTGCTCTTTAAGATTCCGAAGGAGATTTTTCCCATTATATTCGTTTTCTTTAGTTACTTTTTTGCCGTTCAAAAGAGGCTTATGGAATGACAGATTGGAACTTCCCACATCCGCCACTTTCATCGGCGTGCAAGGCTCTCTGGGGTGATCACGTAAAAAGGTTGCTCGCCCTGGATGCCTGGACGCAATTCTGGAAGAAGAAGAAGAAGAAGGAGGAGGAAGAAGTTTCGTAATGTCAATCTTCGGGCATTGAAAGTCGCCGGACGGATTTTTCTTGGTGTATTTGTAAAAGATGTACAGTCATTTCAAGTGAAGTGGGATGTTTTGTCAAAGCCAATGGAAGGTTTGTTACTTTACACTTGATATTTTTAAAACTCACTTTTTAATTTTCTATGAAAAAAGATGAGGGTTACTTTTCCTGCGGTAGATGGTAATTAAACCGGCTACAAAGATGATGACACTGAAGACGATGATGACAGTGCCTTGATGGCGAGCTAGCAGGACCAGGCTTGGAGAAAGTATTTTAATTTCTCATGTGCAAATTTGCATCAAACATATTTCGAAGCAATTTATTTTGAAGGAATATTATCTTTTGGATATGATGAATGACCTCATCCTTACCACCATCTCAGTAATTTTTTTCATGCAATACCATATATATTTCCTTGATCAAATACTGCCGACCATCAAATTCACGGGTGAAAGGAAAATCAACACCAATAACAAACAACCCTTGAACAAGGGCTGCCCTTAGAAAAAGGTCATAGAGACTCTAAAACGTTAAAAAATGCTGTAGTATGTAAACAAGCAAATCAGAAACTTCACTGGGAGGCCAATAATTATCAGTAAACAAAAGGAATATAAAAACCACTGAATTGTCCTGTACCATGATTGGCTCATTTGATTTGCAAATGTGAAAGTCTGTTAGGGGGGTGCTTTAAATTCATTATTTTACAACTACTAAACAATTATTGGATGAGGTGTATGTGATATCCGTAATAGTCAAGGTAGAGGTAAGTGTCATCAGCCGAGCCGAAGGCCGAGGCTGATCACACTTTCCGAGAGCGTTATTATAAACAATTATTGGATGAGGTTTTTGTGATATGCGGAATAATCAAGATCGAGTTAACTGTTATCCGCCGAGCCGAAGACCGAGGCTGACAGCACTTACAGAGACTTCGATTATTTAGGATATCACAAAAACCGAATCTAATAATTGTTTTATTATAAATTGTTTTCCAGAAAATAACGAAAAACACACCGTCACAAGGAACCTGAATTGATACTGTTATTGGAAATCATGCATTGCGTGCGCAACCTACTAATCTGTAGGTTCCGCTGATTTCCAAAATTAGCTGTAAGCTCTTAGCCAATGATAATACAGATAGTGAGAACAATGTACAATAAAATCGATTATTGTTCACATAGATAGACTGTTCAATTACATAAAAGACAAAAATTGTTTAGACATGCTTTTTTATGTCGAGGCCTGTGAACGGATAACTCGTGGGGATGTCTGTACCACGATCTAAGACTGACAAATAAGATTACAGGGCGGTTCTTGGTGTGTATAGAATTAGAGGCGCTCGGACTATTTGTCCTTCTATCCCTCGCCAATGAAACCTGTGGAATTGAAGAAACGTTTTTAAACAGAAGTCATCCCAATTTTGTATTTGGGTGTTTCTTTATTTTTCCTTAAATTTATCCCTTTTTTCGTGAGTTTGTTCCTTCTTTCCTTTGTAAAACTGCAACATAACACTGTCTGAACAGTCTGAAATAAGTGTGATTATTTTCGGTCATTCCTTTATTCCTCGTTTACATAAGTTTCTTGTACTACAGTATGGTCGTGAGTTTGTTCATAATTTTTGTCTTAGCGATGACCTTCTGTTGAAATGGCGCGAGATAGGCGAAAGAACGGTCTCTAAGAAGAAGAAGTATGATCTTTGTGTGTTCAAATCCTTTGAACCTAATATAAGAATTTTACAAAAGTAGGTTTAGTTTGATCGTCCGGGTGAACGTAGTCCTCTGAATGGGACTGTTGTTATTGACAGTGACTGATGTTTCGACAACCTGTGCGGTAGTCATCTTCAGATTCAAAGTGAGTTGTATCACGACAGTTGATGGTATTAGACAAAACATCGAAGGTTTCAAATTTAAAGTAAGAATTAAATACCAAGTTGAAAAATATATTTCCACTAGAAAAATAAATTAGAAATCTTTTATGAAAAATGGCCAAAAGACATTTCTCCCCTTTAATTAAGTTCGTGTGTATATAATTAAAATTGTAATCTTTTTTTAGAACATTGACACGCCGGGTACGCATATTACATATGTTGAGATCAAAAAAGCTTTGGTAGTAGTTCGCTTTACTTAATCTCTTAAGAGAGATGATTATATTTCTGTAAAATTTGTATTTGTCCCAGTCTGAGGTATAGAAGAGGTTATTCTTTACCCTGATTGATTTTCTTAAACCCGCAGTCAGCCGTGGTTTAGCAAGAATTTTTGTTTACTATTGGATATACTTCTTAAAGGGGCGTGTTTATTAATTGTCTTGTTGACGCATTTGTAAAACCTGGAGAACGATTGATTGGCATCAGTATGTTTGCAAATATTATTCCAATTAATATTCTACAAGTCGTCAATGAAAGATTTTGCATTGAAAGTAGAATAGTCATGAACCTTAGTTTTGTTGTTTGGAAAGAATGTTTTACAGTGTGATGTTAATATGCATATCTGAGAGAAGTGGTCTGTTGTAAAGGACACGATATTGCCGCTGACTATATTATTCTGAGGATTATTTATGAAAACATTGTCAATTAAGGTTGCTGAATTACTATAGACTCTAGTCGGCTTATTAACCACTGGGAACATCGAAAAACTTTGCATCGTTTTGCAGCAAGGTTTGTGTGTAACTACAAGTTTCATATGAAGTGTCCATGAGAAAAATATTTTGATTTTGACGGCACTGGCGTTCAAGAAAATCTCACAAGTATTCTAGAAACTCTTAGCGTTATTGTGTTGCTTATAAGTAACACCACATACAGATTTCTTATTGTTAGGCAGATGAAGTTAAATCCACAGGGCTTGATAGCGAGAATTGGAGACTCGTTCAAGGACACGGTATTTACAGTTTTGATCAATGAACAGGCCAACACCGCCGGCAGATAAAGGTGTCGGGACTGATTCAA